GCTGGATGTAGGGTGTGTGATGCTGGGCGAAAGGAAGTGCTGCTGGGACTGAGTGTTGGGCATGCCTGGCCCCAAAGTGCAAAAGCCTGAGTTCAATCCCTGGTTCCATAAAAAAAATAAAAAATAAAAAATAAATCCCTGGTTCCATGGGGGGGGGGGAGGAGAAGAAGAAAGGGGCAAAAGGTGGACTCCTGCTAATCACTTGATGCTTCTTCACCACTTTGCTGCTGTGCTGCCTTCTGCTGGCCCTGAACTGTTTCTCTTGGGTGAGGCTCCCCTGCCACGGGCCCCTGCCTGAGCACCAGCTGACTATGAAATGAAACCTTTACAAATCGTGAGATAAAATAAATCTTTCTTCTTTTAACCTTGGGTGTTGGGTATTTTTGTCTCCTCAACAAGAAAAGAAACTAAGACAGTATTCTTTTTTTTTTTTTTTTTGACAGTATTCTTGTTTAAAAGTACTTAATAAAGCAGGAATCAACAAATATTTCTTAACATAATATACACACACAAAAATATATGCATGCATAGTACTTAATGCATAAACAGTGCAAACACTCCTAAAGTAAGGAACAAGCATAGGACGTCAACAAAAAGATATGTTACTAAACACTAATAATACTGCTCTTGTCTTAGTCAATGTAAGTTGGTAAAGAAAAAAACTAGAAGTATAAGAACTTAAAAGAAAAGCTAGGGCCCCGAGATAGCTCAGCGGACTAAGCACCTGCTTAGGCAAGAGCAGGGACCCTGATTCAATCCCTGGTACCACATGGCATGCCAGCCCCACCACAGGTGCACAGAGCCAGCCATCAAGACTGGGAATAGTGGAGCATGTCTGTAACCCAAGTGCTGGGGAGGCTGAAATGGGAGGATAACTACGAGTCCATCCTGCATAGTGATACCCTGTATCAAATACATAAAAAAATTTTTTTAAATAAAAGTTAAACCTATTACTATCTGCAGATGATATAATAAGCTATAAGCCCCATAAAAATCACTTAAAAATGTCATAAACAATAATGAAGTTCAATAAGAGACAAAAAGCTAGTATACAGAAATTAAATCTTCATATATGCAAACAATAACTTATGATCTTTAAACCTACTTAATTTAGCAATAAGAAACGGGCAAAGTTTATATGAGAAAAGCTTTAAAACTGTCCTGAAGGAAGCAAAACAGACATACCACATCCTTGAACATGAGTACCTTAAAGATGCCAATTTGTTCTAAATTTATAAAATAAGGTGACATCAATAAAAATAATAACCGGGTCACCACTTTCTACAATTTATGTAATAAGAATGGCAGGGGTGTGGAGATAGCTCAACGGTCTGAATGCCTGCCTGGCAAGTACAAGGATCGAAGTTCAATCTCTGCTACTGCATGTGTGCTGGTCCTGGAACCAGGTACGGTGGTACACATCTGTTATCCCAGCGCTGGGGAGGCTGAGACAGAAGGATCACGAGTCTGAACTGCATATCGAGACCTTGTATCAAATAAATAAATAAATAATTTTTTAAAAAAGAATGGCCTTCAAGGTCTTAAAAAAAAATGAGATTAGTTCATCAGATTAAAAGTCATACAAGAGGGGCTGGTGCGATGGCTCAGTGGTCTAAAGCACCTATTTAGAACAAGCTTAGCAAAGCACAGGGATCACGGTTCAATCCCCCAGCACCACATGCCAGCCAGCCCTGCCCCCTGGTGGGCTGAGCTGGCCACACACACACACACACACACGCACACACACGCACACACACAAATAAAATTTAAAACAAAAAAAGTCATACAAGAGGGCGATGGGGATAGCCCAATGAATGCTAGCCTAGCATGTACAAGGCCCTGGATGCAATCTTCAGCTCAGAAGAAAATAGAAAAGCAAAAACAAAAAAAGACATAACAGAAATGACTGATAAATACATATGTGTATGTCTGTATACAAGTGTATGAGTTAACAAGCAGAAAAGCCTTTGTGCGGCAAAAAAACCAACAACAAAAAGACTCTACCATACAAAAGTCAAAGAAATAATTTAGATATAACACCTGCAACTCACATTACAGACAAAAGACTAATCTTAATTTAAAAAGCATTCTGAGTAAACGAGGAGACCAAAAATCTAAAGGGCACAGGACACCAATCAGCATTTCACCAGAAAAGATAAAAGGGGGTGGGGTGCAACTCAATGGTGTCAGTTCATACTTGCCTAGTATGAATGAAGTCCTGGTTTTGATACTCAGCACTACCAAAAAAAGGAAAGAAAAAAGAGGGAGAGAAAAAGAGGGAGGAGACAGGAAGGAAGGAAGGAAGGAAGGAAGGAAGGAAGGAAGGAAGGAAGGAAGAAGGAAGGAAGACAAAGGGTGTTACATAAGTGAAAAGATGACTAGTCAAATGAAAATTAAAGGATATAAGGACACTATTTCTTGCAAGTATAATAGACAAACATCTAACAGTTTGATAATTCTTGTGAATACATAACAAATAGGTACACTGACTGATGCAAAATATTCACCTCTATGGAGGGTAATCTAGCAATAACAATCAAAATCACAAATACATTTATCCTTAACCTATGAATCTCATTCCCAAGAATATATCTTACAGATATATCTAAGTACATATGAAATGGTGTTCTGAAGTGGCAGGTAATTTACAGTCCTACTACACATCTAAAAGGGGCTGGTTAAATATGCCCTCTCTCATTTTCACAATGGCAGATGCTGCTGGAACAAATGAGGAAACTGTGTAATGATGTGGAAAGATGGACCAACGATTCCAGATATTGGGCAGAAATGTATGAAGAGCCAGACTATTCTGCTATGCCAGAAAGCTGAGAAGATATCAAACATTAATGAATTAGCAACAGAACATTGCACTCTCCCACAAAAGACTTCCATCTACTAGAAAACAATAGCAGAATTTTTTTTTTCTTAAACTGGAAATCCAACTCAGGATTTTGCACTTGGCAGGCAGGTGTTTGTGAGCCATATCTCCAGCCCAACAACATCAGAATTTGAAAGTGTTACTAATTTACTAACTTGTAATCCCTAATAAATGGGGCTAGAAAGACAGCGTAGGTGAGTAAGTGCTTGCTTGCTTGGCAAGTGCAAGGGCCTGAGTTCAATCCCCAGTTCCGAGAAAAAAAAAGAAAAAGAAATCCCTAATAAAATATGTGGTTTAAGCAACAATGTTCAATAATCTCTAATTAATATAAATTTTTTTTTTTTTCGGGTGGCTCAGGCTGCCTTAAGGGTGGGTCTGGTAAGGCAGGTGAAGCTGGGGATAGAACCCGCGGTATCCTGTGCCTGACTACGTTTGCACGAGCAGGTGCTTAAATAACTGAGCTAAGCGGCAGGTCCCTCTAATTAATATACAGGTTAATTTTAACATCACTAAAATTGGGATAACTAATAACAGTAGTTCCCAGCATGACACAACATAAAGCACTTTTATGAAGTATTCTGAACTAGAATTGACTTAAACTTCTAGCGCTAACTTGTATTTTATGAAAAAATAGAGAATGGAAAAATAATGTAATGGACACAAGAAAATACAAGACAAACTCAGGTTTGGGAGATATTTTATAGCACAAGTGACCAAGTTTCTACAAGTTACTGATATAAAAAAGAAAGGCCAGGGAGATGGCTCAGTGGAATAAGCGCTTCTCTGGCAAGCGCCAGGACCTGAGTTCAATCCCCGGTTCTGCAAAAAAAAAAAAAAAAAGAAAAGAAAAAGAAAGAAAGAAAAACCAAACAACGGAAGGAAACATGACTATTAAAAAAGAAATAATACCCAAATGTGGTATGTGATCTTGCTTGAATTCTAATTAGATTCAACTAACCAGAAAAAGACACATTTGAGAAACTTAGAAAAACTGGATTACAGGGAGGGTATGAGAGATACAAAACATTAATCTTAATTTTCTTACCTATATAAAAATGGCATTGCTGATGTGTAAAAAAATTGTTTTTTTTTTTTCTTTCAATACCAGCAATTGAACTTGGGACCTTGTGCTTGCCAGGCAGGCGCTTATCCAGTTGAGCTATATCCCTGGCACCTGCACAGGTTTTCTGTGACATATACTGCAACAGTAGGGATAAACAACATGCTGTCCAGAATTGTAAAACTTTAAAGTACAGGACAAAATACAGATAGCATAAGCAAAGGTAGAAAATAATGGCTACACATATGTAGCTAATAATGTTTTCTCGACTTTTATGTAATCTTGAATAATATTTGTAAAATTCCCTAAAATGGCAATATAATAAGGAATATAATTAGCAACACCTTAGGTACCAGCAGCAGGTATAATGTCTGGGGTCACCATAATACAGACTTATAAGGCTTGCTCTCTTTCTTGTTTTTCTTTTTTCTTTCTTTTTTTTTTTTTGCGGTACCAGGGATCGAACTCAGGACCTTGTGGTTGCCAGGCAGGTGCTTATGCCACTGAACTATTTCCCCAGCCCCTTCTTTGTGGATTTTTTTTATTTTTGGTGGAAGTGGAACCGGGGAATGAACTCAGGCCCTTGGGCTTGTCAGGTCTTTGTGTTTTTTTGAGACAGGGACTATGTAGTTTAGACTAGCTTTATAAATTCCTGGCAATCCTCGTTCCTCAGCCTCTCAAGTACTGGGGTTATAGGTGTGTGCCCCCATGCCCAGCTCCTTATTTCTTTACTATATGCATTTTTACAATGAAAATCTTAACTTTGAGTTTGAGACAAAAGTGAATTAGATATAAGAAAAGATTTTTCAGATGATCACATTAGGGCTTCTGTATTTGTTTTCATATATTTTGCTTCATGTGTAGTAGAATCCCATGACAGATTTTACATAAAGGTGTCGTAAATGAAATGTAATAATACAAAGAATTTTCCTGTTTGTCATGATATATTTCCAAATATTATTTCAAGACATGAATATTTACACACACACACACACACACACACACACACACACACACCCCACATATTGAAATCAATGCACAATATGGTTTTAATTCCCTTACCGTCAATATTAAGCATCATTTTCCACATGGCAGGTCGAACAGATTGATGGAATCCAAACCATACTTCCCTGCCCCCTCCAAGAGGGTGGTCATATCCTTCTGGAGCTGAGAAAAAGGAACGCCCCACAGGTGTATATCTACAAAAATTAAAATGGCATATTCAATCCCTTTCTTGCTATATATTTAAATCCATATAAAACTGAAGACTAAAGCATAATTTATCATCATGATGCTTATAATTATTAATATATGAAACGGTTTCCCAAATTTATGAAAGCAAAAAGTAGCCATTCTAAATGAAAAAATCCAGGAACATCTTTTACTAAAATTATTCATTTTCAGAATTAATTTACATATGAATAT